AATTTATTGATATCGATGTGCTTTTACCTTTATACGTTATAATGCTTTTATGACACATGTCCGCATTCGGTGTTCCACAAATTCCATATTTATTGCCATATTTTTAATTTCCTCCGCGCATACACTCGTATCTTATTTCAGGTGCAATATTATTTCGAAGTTCCGAGTCTAACGCGCGAATTTCGTTCGTGAAAAACGCAAATACAAGTAATCGAATAATTTCAATAATAACTGGACACCGAATGCTCCAAATTAATTGCAAAATTAATTTCAAATTAACACTGCAGACATCGATAACGATCAGAAATTAATTAAAGTAGTCTTTGATATGACAAAATTCTCGTCGTTCGAAATTTCTGCGTAACACGCGACAATTCCAAATTTCCAATCGCTGATATATATCTTCCCAATTATCGCTATTTTCTCTCGGAATGCGACCGCTTATAAACCTAACCGGCCCATTCACGTCGATGGGAATCTTTCGAATCGTTCTAAAATAGAGAAGTTCGATCGTGCACGCGGCAATGAGCGAGAAAATTTGCCTGGAACACGCGATAATTCCAAATTTCTAACCTCTGACATATACCTTTCTAATTTTCGTTATTTTCTCTCTTGCAACGTGACCGTTTATAAGCGTAATCGCTTCATTCACACGGCAAGGATGGACCTCTGGAATCGTGGTTGGGTTAGAACAGAGAACTTCGATCGTGCACGATGCACGAGCAGTCGAGATGAGGAGATTCTTGGGAAAGTTTAGAGTGATCATGGTTAAAGATATTAAGGTCGAGCGTAAAGCAACGATGTAACTTTCCCTCGAAACCTTATATTCTCATATGGCATGAAAGCCGATCAATATCCTCAAAATAGAACGAATGAGCACACGCTTCATGTCGCACAAACAGAAAGTGAGGGAGAAAGAGAGAGAAAGGGAGTGGAAAAGCAAAATTTTCCGAGCCTCCGTTCACCCTAATATTGACGAAGCCCATTATGGATGGCGAAAGTCACGAATGTATGAATGAAAACAAGGGTGCATCGCGAATTGTCCGCACCACCATAGAAAATATTAGATCTTCGAAGAAAAATATGCCGTTTTTTCGAACATGCGACCATCTATTTCATTATTTTCCTTTCCTTTTAAACTGTCAATGATAGACTCTTATTTCAAAGATATTTATAGAATAAACATATATATAATGAATAATAATATATAATATAACGAATAATAAATATATAATGAATAAAAGTACGCGTAATTAAAATCGAACGACGACAAATATATACACATCGAACTCGAAGTAGATACACCTATTGTAAATTTATATGAAATTATAGGAAAATATTACGAGTTCATTTATTCGGAGTACTAATAATTGTGTCCCTCCAAAATTCATTACCGCAACAAATATATTATTCGTAGAATTTCAAAAATTCGTAATTGAAGAAAATAGGGAAAATTTATATACGACAGACAAATAAGAAATTTAATATGTTTTTAAGGAATATTTTTTTAAAAACACCAATATTTCAACTTTTCTCGAATTTCATGTGTGAAAAAATATTTGTATAAAAATCTAAAAATTGTCCATTTGATTCTTTCATTTTAGTGAGAAAGAAAAATTTTTCCAATTTTTATTAGAAACGTTCCTAGTGACGAGTATACACGTCGAGCACCGTTAACGAATTAAATATTTATAATCGCGTCAACCATTTTTATTAGCCACTAGCGATTGAGAGAATGAACAAAATTACATTGTCTGCCGAATTACTATATAATTTGGTATATTTTAGTTAAAAGTATAATACGAAGCCATTTTTAAAATAAATGTAAAAATATATTGTCGAGAAGAAGGTTATACATTATTAAAGCGATTAAAAAAGAAATCTAATTAAAAAGAAGAATAGCGTATAAAAATTTACGAATTTTATGTACAACTTACTTATACGAAGTTCTATATCAAGCTCATCGTATCTAGTTGTGAGCTGGAGAAGTAGTTAGAAAGTGCTGCAGATATTTTAATTAATCTTGCTAAACATATCTTTTATACGGACACTAATAGCCTGAACATTATTCATTCCGTCCATTACCATTAACAATTCTATCTGCTCGTCCTAATTCTCTGTCTCCCATATCAGAAATACTGTGGTAAAGTCGATTATACCGTAGAATAAATTCGGAAACATTGGAACGGGAATTTGTAACACAGAATTATTTATTATTCGTATATTACGCGATAAATTCGAATTAACAAAAATAATATACAAGAACAGAACCGAAATACAATTTATATGACGCCTAAATAAATAACCGTTCGAGAAAATTTCGATTATCGATTCGTTATTGAATTAATCGATTTCATTAATCGATTTCATTAATCGAATGAAATTAAGAGATAACATTAATGAATTATATATTTTACTATCGTTTGATGATGAATTCATCTGATTATTTTAGTTTTTATATATTTTATAAATAATTTCAATGAAAAATATTTGTATATAAATATAAACAAATAATTTTAAATATGGCCGCACGATATCATACGACTTAGTTTTTCTATCGTTCGTATTTATCACGATACGTGAAAAACTTAGCATTAGAAGTTTATAGATTAAACTATCGTGAAATCTCAAAATCTTAATTGTTTGCGCACCATTATCATGATAATTATTCTATATCTGAAATGCTTCTAACAATTTACTCACTTTCTGTTATAAATTCGCAAATTATGCATTACAAATCGCAAATGGTTAGACACAATTTTCTTTCTATCCAATCGGAATTCTGTATCAACAAACAATAGTTATTTGCTAAAACGATTAAATTTATTGGTTATATCAAAATATCTACCTTAATATTTAACACGTTTGATGGAAGTACCATTGCTCTCGCACACACCTGTTTAAATTCCCAATCGTTCGTGTTCTGCGCAACAGAAACGCGCCTACACTATTCCATGACAATCGAAAGAATTCGAGATCTCGATCTTCGACACTAACGACACAGCGATATTGCTTTACCTTCGAACTACGACACTGCCGATCGCGGCGCGAATCCGACCGCGATTTAAAACGCGCCACTTCGACATTGTTCCACGTTCGACACCGTTGAATAACCAGCCGAAGGAAAACAAGAATAAAGGAAGTAGAAACGAAGGAGAACGAGAACGAACGAGATAAACCGATTCGACGAAAACCACGACTCACGACACTGACGGTTCGAGGTCGTCACGACGACTGGTAGAATTGTCGACAGAGAGCGACACGACAGCCCTCGGCCGGGTCAACGCATGCGCCCTTTACACCCTGTGCCCAACCCTGTTTTTCTAAAGACCACCCTTACGCTACGAATGTGCTTTCAAATACTTGCCTTCTTATTTTTCATTGCTTTAATATCGATACGTTCTTCATGCAACCCAAACATTATGTAACAGAAATAGTTTTTCTGATGCATTGGATTCATTCGTTCTAATTGAATACTTCTATCTTGGGGTTGCTTTGCATGATGACACATATCGTTCGTGGGTAGCGTCACGATCGATTTAATTCGTGGGAGGCAATATCTAGTAATGGGAACTCGATTCTTTATTTTCTGAATCTGTAAACTGTTAAATAAATCATCTACTTGAAATGTTGTATATGTTATTGATACATTTTAAATGTTGATTCAATATTCATGGAAAGTATTGCTAAATAATAATTTAAATTATATATTTACGTTATTATATTGTTTTGTACAATAAAATATATGGAGTATCGAGTAATAAAATGTATCTATAAACTATAATAAAACAAATGGAAAATAGTTATTGAAGTCAATTACCTTGATAGCATTTTACCAGTCGAGCAAACTTTAAACTGTATCATAATTTGTTTTCCTTTCATGCATCGATGTGTATAATGACAATAGTACTAACACATAATTATGCTCATTATATATTCATAAATTTTTATGATCTTCCATAAAATTTGTTTTACCATTATCAACAAACTTGTTATTATGATCATTGTGATTTCTATGCAAATAATAATGAAAATTGATTGAAATGTCACAAGGATTTAATTATTGAAAGAGTTTCAATATCATGTATGATGTGAAACATGTACATCGCCGTTGGTTTGTCAGATCCCTCGAGTCTCTTGAGGACAATAGGCTTCAAAATGTCAGAACATCGTTGCAGGATATTCTCTATTTGATATCTTCAAACGCAATACCTTACAAATAAAAAACACTAACAATCACCAATAATTATAATAAAATACAATCATTTTGAGAAAATAAATAATGCACAATAAAAAACATAAAATAATAAATTGTGTACTAAACAGATAAAATAAAAAATCATAAATAAACAATATCAATAATAGTCAATTTAATTAAATATTTACATTTAAAAAAAAAATAATATAAGACGTTTGTGTATTCATCGGGTTTCCGTCTTTCGGTCATGACGCTGTCCACTTAAAACTGAAATTTTATCCATTTCATATTCGCGACTGGTGTCAAGCAATTTGTAGTCATATATATATCACCTGGCATTCATTTATAAAGCACGGTACATGGCAATGCAATAACAGAAGGGTCCTCCAGCGTTGTAAGCAAACGCGACCTGATTACCCAACGAATGGAATTTCAAATACGGCCAATGTCTCATAGTAGTATAATAATTTATATCTCACGCCACTATAACAATTTTATAAAAAAAAGTTTTACTTTGATATTTTGTATTTAAATTTCAAATAGCTTTATGTATAATTATATGACAGAATTTAAATATCACATGTTCACAAATACTGCAATGGACATAATTACTAAGGTACAAAGTATTATTCATACCTTATATATATTATATATAAAATACTATGCAGATATAAATAACTTCATTTGTTTCCATAATTAATAAATTATTTTCCATAATTAATAAACAATATTTTAGTATTGTCGACAATTATTAATCAAATACATATAATGTATAAGAAATTAAACATTTATACAAGGGCAATTTATTATAACAAACATGTATCCTTCAGTTCAAGTTTTGGAAACTGTACTCTTTGTTCAATCCATTTTGCTACTGTGAGGAGTACTTCCTCCTTCAAAGAAGGTGCCATAAGTTGCAGAGATAAAGGTAAACCATTTTTAGATAATTTAATTGGCACAGTAACAGCTGGTATACCTGCCATATTAGCAGGTTGAGTACAATAATCTTGAATTGAACACTGTGCCTGATTGTCCATTGAAATAAAATCATTGTAGGTAGGAGCTTCTGTTAAAGTAGTAGGTGTAAGGAGAAGATCAATATTACTATTCCATACTGTATTAAAATCTTCTGAGATCAATCTTCTTATTTTCATTGCTTTAACATAATACTCTTCATAGTTTTCTTCCAATAAAAAGTAATTCCCAACCAAAATACGTTCTTTAACTATTTTACCAAAACCTTCAGATCTTGTCTTTTTATACATATCATATACAGAACTCCACTCATCTGACCTATAACCATACTGCATACCATCATAACAAGCAAGATTGCTAGCCACATCGCAACGATTTAAAATTGTATAACACATTATAGAATAATTAGTATGTGGTAATGATACTGTGGAAAGTGATGCTCCACCTTCACACAGATATTGAGAAACTGTATCCCAACATTCTTGTACTTCTGGACTTAGGTTTTTCTCTTTATATTCTTTTGGTATTCCAATTCTAAAATTACTAATATTTATTGTATCTAGTATATCAATTGATACATATTCTTTTTGTAAACAAGTAGAATCAAATTCATCTTGACCAGCTATACTATTTAGAACTAACACAACATCATCGACATTCCTTGCAAGTATACCTGGCACATCCATTGAATTTACAAGAGGAATAAGTCCATAACGTGATACCAAACCATAAGTAGGTTTCAATCCAACTAAACCACAGTAAGATGCTGGATTTCGTGTTGAACCACCAGTATCTGAACCAATTGCAGCATAACAGCTTCCACTTATAACAGCCACTGCAGAACCCCCACTGCTACCACCTACAATGAGATGGTTATAAAAATATATAATAAAAAAACTTAATAATACATACCTGCTATATTCCATGAATTTTCATCTGTACATTGTTTTGTATGTTCATTTATATAAGTATTACAGGCATAAAATTTTGTTAACACACTTGAATTCCATAAATTTTTTGTTGGTCCATAATATGAATCAATGGTTCCTGAACCCATAGCAAATTCATCAAGATTAGTTTTACCAAGTAATATTGCACCAGCATCTTTTAATCTCTGATATACAGTAGCATCATAAGTGGGAAAAAAGTTTGACAACATCTTTGATGCACATGTTGTTCGATGATCCTTTATACAAAAATTATCTTTAATTGCAATGGGAATTCCATCAAGTTCCCCCAATAAACTACGATTTTTTTGTCGTAAATCTGAATTTTCCGCATGTTTTTTTGCTATTTCATCAGTAACAGTGATGTAAGCATTTAAAGGTTTAGTAATAGATGTAATTTTAATAGCTGCTTTTGTAATATCAGAAGGCCGTATATCTCCACCATATATTTTTTTACTAACTTCTTTAACCGATGCAGTTAATAATTTATTCATTTTTTCCAACAGTATTAAAAAAAATATTTGCTTATAGCCTCTATTTGAAATATAACCTCAATTTACCGGAAAAAGTATTTAAAAACACATTACTAAGTAAAATACAATATTAATTTCTAAAAGATTAATTAAAATCGTGTTAAAATGTGAATTGTTTTAAAAATACATCAAAATTATATATAATAATATTAATGAAGTCACGTGATAAACAAACGTTTTAAAACACATGCTTTATACGCACATGTGCATACATATATGCTTAACATAATAAATAGTTTATAATTTAATTTAGATTTATCATTATAAAGTATATATCATTAATAATTTACATAATAATTATATAATAATTACGTAATAATAATTATTATATTTTTTTTGTAATCACTAGAAAAAAATAGTTAACCATTGACATATGTTCATACGTATTTGAAAATTGAATAAATAAATAAATTAAATGATTATATGATTAATTTAAATACTTTCGTTATGTTATATCCAAAAATGTCAAACTTTAATAACATTTATATTTGCATGAACATTTTGATTACATAAAATTTAAAAATGTCAATCTTTTTTAATATAATCCATTCATTTAGTAATGTTTATTATTAATTTATTTATTACATTTTTATTTCCTATACTTAGAAATATAATTAAAAACTTTTCTACTCCAAGTTGTTTTACAAATATTTTATATATTTACTTTTGTTACTAACATTTTTTAACAATATACAAAAGAAGATGCGAAAGATAGGAACAATATTTAAAGTAAATCATATCTTTACAGGCGATATTATTATTGTTAAGTGTACATATTGTAACTATTAAATGTTAAAAAAATGAAATCATAAGAAATAAAAAGAAATTGATTTTCAAAAAAAATTGTTCAATATTCTTCCACAATTAACATAAAAATTAAAAATTATTCTGAAACATTCTTAGGAAATAAAGAAATTTGATTCATTTATTTATGTATGCTACGTATTAACTTGATATAGTAAATACCTAATTCATGAAGTTAGTTCATAATCATATCAGAACAAACAACATTCAACACTTAAATTAACATCGTTCACTTCCAGATTATTTAATAAATTAACAGATATTTTATTATCTAATTATGCTTTCATCTCCCAATGGCTTATTCATTTAAGTGCTAATTAATATCATATGTTTCTTAATATATACGGAAATTTGTGCAAATATAGTTATTAACTACAATAAATATAATAAACTTCGAAAAAAAAAAGATTGATTATGTATATTCATTCAAAAATAGGTACAATTTTGATCACTTCCACTTCTCAAAAGTTGTATTGAATGCAGAAAGGCAACTTGCTGCCATTTTCACTTGATTCCCTGTACGTTTAGAGGTTTCCAAGATGGTGAAGAAAACGTTAGCAGATAAAATACCTCAAAACGAGGATAACGTTAAAAATAATGATGATATATTTAACGACGATGAAGAGCCAAATTTCAGCGATCCTGAAGGGTTCGTCGATGATATTACTGATGAAGGTAAACGAAACTTTTCTTTAATGACAGCCAACAAAAGCTATGCTTTGATGACTGAAAGCATGGCTACGCATAATCGCAAATGTGGCATGCATAGCTAACCTAAAAAGTCACGGGTATTTTACATTTAGTTTTAAATATTATTTTTTAATTTATTTTAGATATAAATTTTTTTTAATATCATGTCACGAGTAAAAATTACATTTTTAGTTTTCTTTTCTTTGTAGAACTCCTTGGTGACATTTTAAAACAAAAACCATCAGAGACAGATGGGGTAGAATCAGTAATTGTGGTAGATGGAGTTCCCCAAGTTGAACCAGAAAGATTGGAGAAACTGCAATCTGTCATTAACAAAGTCTTAGGAAAGTTTGGTACAATAGTAAACCAATATTATCCCAAAAATGAAAATGAGTATACAAAAGGGTAGGCTTATATTAATAATATGTGTGAAACTATTGCTATATAATAAATGCTATATATAATTTACTTTATTTCAGATATATATTTCTAGAATATAATAATCCTCTCAATGCTTTAGCAGCTGCACAATCTGTAAATAATTACAAAATTGACAAACAACATACCTTCAAAGTAAATTTATTCACAGATTTCAAAAAATTTGAAGAAATTTCAGATATATGGGAACCCCCAAAACCACAAGAATTTAAAGCAGCAGCTGATTTACATTACTATCTTTTAGAACCTGATGCTTATGACCAATTTTGTGTACTTTGTGGCAATGGATCTTCTGTTACTGTTCAAGTCTGGCAAAATTCTGCTCCAGAACTAACATTACTTGAAGATCGTTCTGTAAGTTATTATACATTTTATCTAATATTTATATTAATTCAATTACTAATTCGTTTAGACTTAAATTTTTCTATTTCCTGTAGCGTTGGACTGAGACATATGTTAAATGGTCTCCATTAGGAACATATATAGCAACATTCCACAAATTGGGTGTTGCATTATGGGGTGGTCCCCAATTTTTGCAACAAGCCAGATTTAGTCAGAAGGGTGTTGAATGTATTGATTTCTCTCCTGGAGAGCGTTATTTAGTAACTTATACTCCGCGAACTGATCTTGGTTCTGATCAAAAACGTCTTGTAATTTGGGACATTCTGACTGGTCAAGAAAAACGCGCATTTTATGCAGATGGTTCTTCAGCATGGCCTATTTTCCGCTGGTCACACGATGATAAATACCTTGCTCGTATGGGAGAAGATATCTTAAGTGTCTATGAAACACCTGTATGTTCCATTTTTAATGCTATAAGTGAGACTATATTTAATTGTATTTCGAGTTCAATAAGTTTATAAATATTACAGTCATTTGGATTGTTGGATAAAAAAAGTATAAAAATTCCTGGTATCAGGGATTTTAGTTGGTCTCCTACAGATAATGTTCTTGCTTATTGGGTGCCAGAGGATAAAGATGTTCCAGCTAGAGTCACCCTTCTGGAAATTCCAAAGTAATTAATTATTAATTTTTTAACATATTTCATATTTCCTAAATTATTTGAGTTATCATTTATTACTTATGTTTCTAGCCGAAATGAAATTCGTAACAAGAATTTATTTAATGTAGCTGACTGTAAAATTTATTGGCAAAAATCAGGGGATTACCTCTGTGTTAAAGTCGATCGTTTTGCCAAGCGCAAAGAGAAAACGGAACAGAAGTACACGGTACTGTATTAAATAAAATATTCAATATAGTAAAATATATGTATTTTGTATATAATAATTCATATTATCATTAACAGGGTATGTCATACAATTTTGAAATTTTTCATATGAGAGAAAAACAAATTCCAGTCGATAGTGTAGAAATAAAAGAACCAATCCATGCATTTGCTTGGGAACCTGTTGGAAGTAAATTTGCTATTATTCATGGAGAAATTCCAAGTGTTAATGTTAGTTTTTATGAAGTACGATTTGGTCATCAACCAGCTCTCCTTAGTAAGATTATTTGTATTAATTATCCCATGCAACTTAATAAATAATATCAACATAATAATGTATATATAAATATTTATTTTATTTGACAGAAAAATTAGAGAAGAAAGCTTGTAACCATCTATTTTGGTCACCATCTGGACAATTTATTGTGCTTGCTGGATTAACAACTATGGCAGGAGCTTTGGAATTCATTGATACTAACGATTTTACTATTATGAACTCAACTGATCATTATCAAACTTCAGATGTAGAGTGGGATCCTACTGGACGGTATGCATTTGTTTCTGTATTTACATATAAAGCATTTCTTATTATAAAAATGGTATAAACCTGCATCTTGTCATAGGTATGTGGTAACAGCTGTTTCTAGTTGGAAAACTAGTGTGGATAATGGATACTGGATATGGACCTTTCAAGGACGTATCTTAAAAAGGGTTAATCTTAATCAGTTTAATCAACTATTATGGAGACCAAGACCACCGACACTATTAACATCAGAACAAATAAAAGAAATTAAGAAAAATTTGAAGAAATATTCTGCGCAATTCGAAAGCAAAGATCGTATGCGATTAACACGTGCTTCAAAGGTATTTGTATTATATTGTATCTATACATATTTAATATAGATTATAAATTTACTAACAAAATTATTTATAGGAATTAATTGAGAAACGTTGTGCTGCGATGAAAGCATTCGAAGAATATCGTTCAAAACGTGTACAAGAATGGAATGATCAGAAACCGCGACGTTTAGAATTACGTAATGGTTTGTATTTAAAAGTGAAATATTTAGCATCCTTTTTTCTTTTCTTTTTTTTCTTCCTTTTGACGTTTGATCTTTTTTCAGGTATTGACACTGATGAATTAGATTCTGATTTAAAGAATGTGGAAGAAGAAGTAATAGAATTTTTCGTCAAGGAAGAAACATTCATCATCGACGAAAAATAAAATTTTGTGGAAGAAGTTTTCTTCTCTACCATTTCTGGAAATCTCTAGTGTAAAAGAAATTCAGTCATCTGTGAAAAGTGTCATCGAAGTTATTTTCTTCCGAAGTCACAAATTGTGACTGTCAATAGTGGACTGAAATGACTATTTTAAGTGGTTATGAACAGTTTCTCTTATACTACTTCTGCATTCTAATTAAAATTATTTCTACTTTTCCGACGTTGCGTATGAAACGTCGTAAACATAATACCATAATGTTTTATCACGTTCCATACAGGATAGTATGTCATTCAACAAATAACTATTATCAGTATAAACATATATATTGTACTTCTTTATTTATCAAACCCATTTAGCACGATTTAATTTTATATATTTATAAATAGGTAAAAAGATACGGTATTTTCATTCATATCTTTTCATTACTTTTAAACATAATATGTACGATCTAATTGCATATCAAAAGTAGTACCGAAACAGTGCAACAATAGCACATACCCAAATTGATGGAATTCTGTCCTGTTCGAAAAATGTCTTATTCGTTACACATTTTCCGTACGAAAATAAGTAATCATGCTCTTTTTGTAATTCATTTTGTAAATTTTTATTTTTAGTTATAATAGCAACCTGAGTTTCTAAATCTTTGTTGACCGACCTATAACCTAAAATTAATTTTTTTTTTATTATTTTAGAATTAATTTATCTTTCAATTTTATATTTTACCGAAGTTAGGAGATCCAATAAGCGTAAGACAAGGTTTTTCTTGATGTGGTAAAAAATACCAGAGCCCTTTGGCATGGTATGTCCATCCTGGTTTAATAAATTCCAACAAAGTTATCCTATTTTGTTGTCCTAACTTATTACAGTATTTCATAAATGATTCCTCTATTTTTGTGTAAGCTGCTGGGATGCCACCAGCAATGCCCTTTGCAGCTAAATATAATATGTCACATTAATTAAAAAATTAAATAATTTTTTTTCTTTTATTTGTACAATAAAAACTTACAAAAGAAACCATTGGTGGTTGGATGCGCTGTTAAAAGATGACATGTTCCTTGACAATGTTTAAGTAATGCTTCAATGTACTCTGAAGTTAAATTAAAATAACCAGTTGCTAATTTAAGTATTGTACCTGGTGGGGATGTTCGTAAAAGTTGTAATGTTATCTGGCTATCATGATAAATATTTAACTGACCCATTTGTATTAAAGGAAAGATCCAAGTATCTATGTCTATATTTTCAGCTATAAAAATAATTAAAAATATACTTTAATTTTAACTTATTATTTCATAAATATATATACAACCAAGAAATATGTATATATATACCCATTTTTTCTATATTACATTGTTTCTCTAATTCCTTTTGAAACAAAGATTTTACACTTTTTGCAGCTTTTTTAATAAATGTAGTTGGGTCTTTAAGAGGATTCACTTGCATAGCAGAATTTAATAATGCAGTTCCATCTGGTTGAAGCACAAAACTAAATTTTCCCACCCTTTGAACCAGCTCATCATAAAAATCACAAAGTTCTTCACAATTTTCAATCAAAAAATAACGATCTTGTCGATTTGTAAAATAGTCATTACTAAGATTAGCACTAAAAGATAAAATTAATTCATAAAATATTTGCTTATTTTTTAAAATGATGCCATATACAATTGAATATATTAATGTTTACCCGCTAATTATTAGATCATTATCTACCATATACAGTTTCATATGTTGCAATCCTATTAGTTCATTGAAGCGATCTGGTATAATCATTTTTAAGAATCCACGAAGTTTAGGGGTATGATACAGAAAAATTTGACAAGATTGACCATACTTTCCATTAAGTAATGATTCTAACATTTTACGAGAATTGAGTTTACCTCTAGATCCTCTCATAAAATCTAATAAAATTTTAACTTCGACATTACCATTACTTCTATTTAAAGTTTCATTTATAACATTTACCTACACACAATAAAAATATTATTATTTATCATATTAAATTCTTTATTACTTAGGTCTTATTACACTTACCAAATTGGATTCTAATTTTCCTGTACCTAAATATAATGATGCAAATGTTATCCTTTTCTTTGCATTCTTACATTTTTGTATAAGTATAGAATAAAATTCACTTGGCTTATGAATAATCTTAACCTAAAATTAAAATTTTTTGTTAAATATAGTAAGAATATACCATTTAAATTAAAAATTATTTATATTTACGTTAGATCCATTTATACCAAAATAAGGAGAACTTTTAAATAACCACGTTAGTGTATGAAATTCAGGCTGCTCTATTTTAAATATTAAATCTTTCTCTTCAGCTACCATAGTAATTGGTATAATATTCTTTATTGCAGATGAAGAAAGTTTTGGTTCTATTGTACTAGATGTTAATAATTTTCTTGTATAAAACCTAAAATGTTATGTCAGAAAATATTATATTTTTTATGAATATATGTTAGTAATCATACAATTTGTGACAAAAATATAGGAAGAATATTTTTGCAATACATATCTAAAATCAAATTATTAAAATTACATTAATTTTATTCATAAAACATCGAATCAAATTTCTTAAAAATTTATGATACAAGCATGTAATGTGATTTACATGCAACAAAAAATTACTGTCATAAAATTAATTTCTCACTATGTGACTTTAATTTATAATTTGTAATTTCCCAAATATCAAATTTCATAAATTTATGAAATGTCATTTTACATTACGGAAACATTTTTACGTCATATTAACGTACACAGGTTAAACTATCTTTATTTGCTTTAACAAGAGCGAAATTTTATAGTACATTTATAGTGTTTGAACTTGTTTAATTTTACTCACCGATTTACGGTCTTTAAAATAAAGCTATGCATGAGTAGATCCTTAAAATAATTATATGTTAACAAACACCTTTCAAACTACAAATTACTCTTCCCTCTCAATTACAAATAGCTTTGCACGCTACCTTTTGAGTTTTACGTACATTATAAGAAATTATGCGTATACATTCGAAATTCTAATACAAACAATATTTTTCAATAAGTTACAATAAAGGTAGTAATCATAATAGATGTTCATATTATTTACACTAGTCTTATCAATATATTAAATATTTATAGCAAAATTCAAAATCTTATTATAGTATAAAATTTTCTAAGCGAAGAAATGATTTTCATATTATATAAAAGTATCATCAGAATAAAGTTCTAAGAAACTAATGCATATTTTACCTTTTCCTAATCTTTATACTTACAACTTCACTTACAACTTTGTATGTTTTTAATAAATGTAAAGTATATTGTAATATAATGAATAATATAATGAAATATGCATAAAAATATTACTTCACTTAATTTGATGAAATTTTTATTTGAATAAAATTGTAAATTTTATACAAATGGTTATACATAAAGTGCAGACGAAGCGCCACTTCCCGGAGGAACCTAGAATTAGTGATCGATAGAAAATAAAGAGTGGCAGGGGACAATTGTTGAAGATTCATATCGATACACACGTAAAAATGGATTTAAATGTTAAAAAAATAGTAAAAGGTGCTGGTGCAGTGCTTAGTAGGGTTGTACAGGTAAGAGGAATTTATTATAATAATTCAACAGATTTTCGTTGATAGAAAAGTATTCTAGTTAAGGCACTTGTAACTGAACGCTGTCATTTCTGACATTTTGTACTTTTTTCAGCGAGGAAAACATTTAAATAGAATGATCATCACTTGACAGTTACTATTTTATTTAAATTTTATGAAATCGTATATTTTACAATAATTTTTATATGTGAAACATTATGTATATATTTTTGTTAATTATTTCTTGTCTATGCATTAACTTTAATTGTTGAGATCTAAGGTTAGTAGATATATCACATTTCAATTATTGTTTGTGTTTTATACTGTGCTGTTTATTAATTTCTTTGTTTTCATTGATATCACTTTATGGTGATATTGCTTGTTTTTCTAGAATTTTTCAATTTTAAACAACTTCAGAATGAAGGTGTTTAATATTTGCTAGTTAAAGAATTAATCATTCGATGACTCAGAATATATCAAATAAGTTAGAATGACTAAGACTGGCCCTTCCTAATTTTTTAAGTTAATGTCATCACAATTAGATTCAAAAATATGTTTTACCACTATAAGAATCAAAATAAGAATGAAAAATATTAATTATTACATTATAAAAAATTAGAAAATTAAAATTAATTTAAAGAAGTTATTTTAGTTTAAGAGTAAATTAAAATTTTTATATGAATTAAGAATAAATCTGCTGTTATTTAATATAACAGCAAAGTTGTATGTTTAAAATATTTTTTTAGATGACAGAAGAAGCATTAGGTACATCAGAAAAAACTGAATTAGATGCACATTTAGAACATCTTGCAGATAGAGCAAATGCAACTAAAACATGGACTGAAAAAATCCTTTGGAACATGGAAGCAGTTCTTACTCCAAATCCAGGTAATTAGAAAATTATGTGCTAAATTTAACAATCTTATATATATAATACATATATAATATATTACATGTATAATATATAATTAAATATATAATAATATAATATAATACAATATTATATAAAATACTT